AGGGAACCTGCACACTGTTGGTGGGAATGTAAATTAGTACAGTTATTATGGAAAACAGTAGAGAAGTTCCTCAAATATTAAAAATAGATCTACAATATGATCTAGCAATCCCACAACTGGGTATATATACAAAAGAAATGACATCAGTATGCTGAAGAGGTATTTGCCCTTCTATATTGATTATCCATAATAGTAAAGAAAAGGAAACAGCCTAAGTGACAATTAACTGATCAATCGATCAAGAAAATGTGGTGTCTATAGAAAACTATTCAGGCATACAGGATGAAATCTTGTCATTTGCAGCAACATGAATGGAACTGGAGATCATGTCAAGTCAAATAAGAGAGGCGAAGGAAAGGCAAGTATCACATAATCTCACTCATGGAATCTAGAAATGTTGATTTCATAAAAGTAGAGAGTTGACAGTAGTTATCAGAGACTAGACAAGGGAGGAGTACAGACTGATCAATAGGTATTAACTTATAATTAGATAGCAGTAAAAAGTTTTGAAGTGATCTTGCATAGTATGGTTTCAAAGGATAATAGTAATGTGCTAAATACCATTTCTTCTTGGTGATACTGAGGTTTGAACTCAAGACTTACATACTTTGTAAGTAGGCACTCTACCACTTGAGCCACACCTCCAGTCCTTTTTGCTCTGGCTATTCTGGATATAAGGTCTTCTTTATGGCCTGGTTCACCTGGCTTAAGATCCTCCTGATCTCAGCCACCCACATGGTAGACATGACAAGTGTATGCCACCATCCCCAGCTATTGGTGAGATGGGATCTCCCAAACTTTTTGCCTGAAATGGCCTTGAACCACCATCCTCCCAATTTCAGTCTCCCAAGCTGCTAGAATTACAGTTGTGAACCACCAGCACCTGCCTTGCTTTTCTTCCCTTCCCTCCCTTCTGCCTTCCCTCCCTTCCTCATTCCCCCCTCCCTTCCTTCTTTCCTTCCTTTCTTTCTCCAACCCCCCCCCTCCTTTTTAAAATAACAGTTCTTGATGTTCTTCCACCAAAAATGCTCTGGATAAAAATGAAAATTGAAAATTTTATTCAGAAATAGTCAAAACAACAGATGTTCCCTATCTATGCTTTTGCATTAATTCAGGACTTTTTCCAAAATCTAGATCTCACTGTTATTACTGAACTGTTTTTACTTCTTTCATTCCTTCTGGACCAATTTTCAGAATAGTTACCATTTGTACTGGGTACAACTAATTATGTTGTCTTATAACATAAAGGGAATGAATCTTTACTAGTCACTGACAAAATATTTGCTGGCAAAAGTGGATAAGGTTTCAAATATGAATGGACATTTACTTCCAAATAGATTCAATTAGATTCAAAGCATCATTAAGAATTATATTTTATATAAAAGCAATGTGATCAAAAGTTGAGGGATTAAAAAGGTCTGTATCTTCGTAGTTACAAAGAAATCTCTACCACATAGTAAATACTTCTTTGTAGAACAAACAGCTGTACTTCTAATTTATATCTGTCTTCTTTTTATATTAGGAATTTTTAGGTATATTGAGGTCTTTTCTCCCTTTCTGTGTTAATTATAAGCAATACTTTAGAACTTTTGAGGCAATCTTGCATCTGATAAGGTATAATTCTAGGCAGTTCACAAATAGTGGGAGGGGCAATGGAGCATGTGGAACCATCTTAACAGAGCAATACCCAAGGCTGATGTAATTAGTTTCTAAGTGCAAATTGGTCCCTATCATTTCCACATTTGGCCTTTTTTTTTGGTGGTACCAAGGTTTGAACTCATGGCTTCAGAATTACTAGGCGGCACTCTACCACTTGAGCCACTCTACCAGCCCATTTTTTTGTGTTGGGTACTTTTTAAATAGGGTCTCACAAACTATTTTTCTAGGCTGGCTTCAAACCATGATCTTCCTAATCTCTGCCTCTCAAGTAGCCAGGATTGCAGGCATGAGCTACCAGACACAGTTCACATATTGAGATCACTTTGAGGCAGCGTTTTCCTTCTGTGAGCTTAAGTTTCTCATCAGTAGAAGGTAAATCATTCATAATAATAGATTTACAAAGATTAAATGAGATAATTTCTATGTCATATTAGTGATAATGACATTAATCATAGCAGATCAATAAGCCTGACACTATGAATAATTGATAAATAGTTGAACCATGCAGTGACTCAAGAAGAATTACTTGCAACCAAAGCATAGGACTACAGTCTACACCGAGCATCTTGTCAATGAGTTTCAGTTGTTTTTTTCCTAGAATAAAATTAACTTAGGCATTTATGAAAGAAGAAAAAATATGCATATATGTGTACAGTTGTGTGTTTGTATGTATATGCTACATATAGTTATTGTTAAATTACATAATGAATGTGCCTGTAGTCATTATTACTATTTACCCTTATAATGAATTGTGCCTGCTTCAAGCTACTTCAAGCAAATAATTTGAGTGGGAAATCTATAAATTAACAATAGCTACTGTTTTAGGATATGAATAATGGAAAAGCAAGAAAACTATTCTTAGGTCTCTTCATGAAAGCTTGAGCCAATCAGTGTTTTCCTCAAAAAAATGATCTGCTTAGGAGGAAAATAATGGGAAATGGCTAGAGCAATGGACATATTTGAGGCCCAATTTTTGAAGCTTATTTCATATCAGACATAGAATAAGGAAGATGAAGAAATAAAGCTCTCAAGAAAAAGTCCAATAGAGTTAGAACAGCTAAATGAGAAAATATAGAAGCCAACAGAGTAAGAAGGAAGAATCAGATCTCCACAGAGTCATTCATGAGGAATCTAAAAGATGAAAGGGTAAAATAAAGTACAATTACTGGTGGGATTTGAGATCCTTTGAGGAGTTCAGAAGCTGAACTGTCAAAAGTTCATTTCAAGTTTTGCTGTTAATGGAAAGGTATATCAGTCTTTAATAAGGTTTCACTCTGGAAGAAAGAGAAAGGCAGCACCGTTGAACCTGTGAAGTAAGCCGGAAATGGAGGAGTCATTCTTGACAAAGCCTGATCCTCTGCCTTCGGTTCCAATTATTTGTTCAGTTTCTTTCTATTTGTACTCTTTGATATTGCTAAATCTGTCCACATTCCTCCATCTCTGCTTTTTCCTGCCCTAGTCCAAGCTTCTATCATCACTTACTGGAGCTACAAAAGCAACCACATATCCTATCTTCCCACACTCACTCATTATCTGCCTTTCCAAGGCAGAATACTCTGCTGGACATGTAGCCAACTGGACCTTTTCCAAAAGCAAAGCTTATCCTGTGATCCCATCCTCCTTAAAACACATCCTGATTCCCATTATTTACATATTAACATTAAAGTCAACAACTTGTCCTAAGAAGGTTGACATAATTTGATTTCTGTTTCTTCACCTCCTTCTCCTTCCGTGCTCCCTCCATACTGTTCAGTCTGTATTGGTTCTTCTTCAATTTCTTCTCATGTAGAAAATACCTTAATATTTGCCCAAAAGACTGAAATAATAAGTATTCATCTTAATGTGTATATATATTTTAGTTAGTGAGAAAATATTCCTGCTCTATTGCAATTATTACTCTATTACAATAATTACAATTATTAATACTTAGATATAAGGTCTGTTACATGGAAATAAGTCTTTGTGATTTTCCTCAAAGATAAACTCACAGATAGATACTAGAGACAGAAATTGTCCAGAAATATTTTTAAGATACAATATCTATAGCTCTCACAGAGCCTTTGGGGAAGGATCAAGTGCTTGGACATTTTCCTGTTAGACTGTGATGATTATTTTGTGGGAAGACCATGAAGTGACTACTTTTATTGTTCTTTAAAGGAGCTCAATGGCCTTCATTTAGCCATTGTTAAATTTTCCTCCCAGCTCTGCCAAAACACCCTCTGCAAAGAAGAAATCTTTGCATCAGCTGTCTTAGAAAGACTTTACTTTAGGTGAGTTTGAAATAAACATTCAAACAAGCTTATAAACAATTTATTTAGTAAGTTGCTTTTAACAGTACTCACCTGAATACAAGAATGCTTTAGGGGTCAAATAAAGTACTGATCTGCTAGTGGTACTTGAGCTACTCCTCCAATATTTTATGTGGAAAACTCTTTTGCAAAGGACTGAATTTAAACTTTCATCTCTTACTCCTTTCATGAAGAAGTTGATCATGCTCAAATGCAGTTTGATTTTAAAATTTCAGTATATTTCAAAGCATAAGGGTTTGATAAATCTTTGTGGATTACTTATTACCCTTTATTCAATTCATCTTCAAATTATTCTACCAAATTCAGATGGCATAAATGTGAAGAGACACTGTATCTAGTTTGGTTCAAAGTTACAACACAGTAGGTACTCAAAAAATTACTCATTCAATAAAGTGATAACTGACCAAGAAATCATAATATGACAAAATTTAAGCAAATATTAAAAGAATTCAAAGATAAAAATTTAGAGTCTAACCACTATAATTACATGTATATAGCACTTTAGCTATGTATTCTATGGTTGGTAAAAGTTCTTAATATTTTTAATACTTAATTCAACAACATTTACTAAGAACTAATGATTCAATCTGCTGTACCAGGAGATGGATAGGAAAAGTTTACCTGTCTTATGAGTATTTGGTTCTCTAGAAATAACAAGAGGGAAATTCATAATAAACTGAAGTCATCGGATGAAACCAGTCCTTCCCAATATCCTGTATTGTCTCTGTGCACTTAGAGTTCTCACAACAGCAAAAGTCTTTAAATCTACTTAATTAGACATTTCTCAATTTTATGGAGATTTGTTCTGATTTTTTTTTCTTCATGTGAAAACAAATTTCTAGTTATCAGCCTCCCACTAGTGATTTAATTATAGCATTCTACAATTGCAAGGATGAAGCATGTTGAATCAATTCCAACTTTCAATTAACAGCATAGATTTGAATGATATGGGAAGAATATGAAAGAAACTCCGGCTATTACAAATTGAATAACAAACATTTTTAAAGTTGTAATAACAAGCAGATCTTTTACCTCTTGAAATAACAGTCTCTAACCCAGTTCCATTAATAAAAGCCCGTTTAATAGTTTGTGTTTTAACATCTGTCCAGTATAAACGTTCCTCAGAGGCATCGAAGTCTATCACAGTAACATCATCGATATCAGGGACTGTAAAGGCCGTGATAAAGTTAAAATATGGATTGTCAATGTCCACTCCTCTGATTTCAGAATGTCTTGCATAAAGAAGAAATTTTTTCATTTCTAGAAAAGGAATGAAAATTAAATTTTTTCTCTTATACAAGTTTAAAATGGTTTAGAAGAGTTAATAAACAGTTTAAAACAACATATGAATTATTAATTTGTACTGATGTAACACATTTTAGCACTAAAAATAATATTGTATGGAACTAATACAGTTGTTATCTAATTTAAATTAAGGAGCACAAAAGACACAAATGTAAAATAAGAAATTCTCAGCAATTGAGTTAATCTTAGAATTTCAAACAAACTTATTAAAATACATAAACTCTCCAAATGTCAAGCAATCACAATATGACAAGATTGTCCCACATTAAATGCTTTTTGAAGAAATCTAAGAACGTCTGTCCTATGTTGTCATTGAAAAAATTGAAATAAGCATTGCTTTTGAAAATCCTATTCAAGTTTCCCCCACCAAAGTTAGAGCTCAGCTAATTTAAAACATGTTTTTATTGTAAATATTAGTAACCAACATTGTGAAGCACTGAATCATTTTTACTTTCACGGGTACTTTCCTTGTACTGAGTTTGTGAAATATCACTTTAGAGCAAAAGAAATAGGAGATACAGCTCTTCTACTATTTTATTGTTTTGCTATTATTTGAGGTGGTTTTTTTTTTTTTTGCAGGGGGAGGGGGAATTGAACCGGCTCTGCCTCTTCAGCCACACACCAAGTCCTTTTGCTTATGTTTTGTTTTTCACAAAGTCTTGATAATTTTGCAGGGCAGGCCTTGAACTCTAGATCTCTTGCCTCTGCCTCAGGAGAGGGTGGATTACAGGTGTGTGAGACTATGTTCCACTGAGATATATTGTTGTATAAAATTAAAGCCACTTGCATCTAAAGTCCTGAGTTAATTTCTGGTGAATAATTTTATTTTTTGCCCTTAAAATTAAGCAGTTATTTTACCAGTAAACAAAAAAATGAATGCAAACTGCTGTATGATATTCATTCACAAACATTATAGTTTTAGATTAAAGTTTTTTCAACAAATCTTTCCAATTTATATACTTTGTTTTCCCCCTTAATGCTGATAAATTCTTACATAATGACACTAAAGTGACTTTGGAATAAGAACAGGAGATTAAAGCTGTTAAGCACGTCCTTGTTATGCAGTCTACCTACATAATCATTTTCTGATAATGTACTTTCACTTACAAATCTCCCTGTTTTGCAGAGATAAATCCTGCAAACACACCAAACAAGAAAGTAGCAAGAAAAAATGAATTGGTAATAAAAAGCAAAGTGCAACATGTCACATATTTAAAGAATTTGTCAGTCTCTCCAGAAGTAGATGAATCATCAATAGTGGCTTGAAATAGAAACACCTAAAGTGTTTTTAAAGATGTTAAAAACCTCTTCTACTTTACTTTGAGTAAAATCTGAATGCTAATACAATTGAAAAAATTCAGTTGAGGGTTTTAGATAAGGACTATGAGAAATTTACCATAGCAGGTCTTCTTGTCTGAGGAAAGCTTCATCAAGTGGGGGCAGGCACAAGCAGCACTCCTGTTATGATTGATCAGACACATGTGAGAGCAGGGGCCTCGGCCGTCATTAGCTGCACAGGGATTGGGAGCTGCAATTACACAGTGAAAGATTAACAGTGATGAAGTAAGAATGGATCAGGGGACCTCTGAGGTTGACAGGGGTTATTCACTTAATGAGTCAAAGTAAAGCTTTCTGCACAGCACCCATTACTAGGGTGATTAATATGACAATAATAGACAATAATATGCAGTTATTACATTACTAAAAACATTTTCTCCCTCAAAGATAACAACTAAGATAATTCCTTCCATTTCCTCTAAGATGAATAACATACATCCTATTGCCTTAGAAGCAAAGGCTTTTTAAGGGTTCAGTCTGTGAAATAATCAGGATCATTATTTTATTTAAGATATAATAAGCTCAGATAGAAAATAACTTAGACATTGGGAGTTTTGATAGACATCCTTCTTTTCCTAGCCTGTCATACAGTCTCTGAAAATTGCAGAGGGAAGGAGAGGTGCAGACATACCCTTCCTCAGGCCACTAACTCCATTGCGATCAGAGGCCTATTGAACATCAGTCTTCCTTCAGTATGAATTCATCTACTTCTTTATTATCAATTTTTTCTTTGTTAATTGATTCCATGGTTAAGGTTTGTTCCAAATACACATACCTACTAAATTACATTGTATAAAAAACAAATAACTCATGATACATTCAAATTTAGAACAGAATATTAATGTTGGTAGCTCAGGCCAGACATGATGAATAAACCAGTAATTCTAACTATTTGGGAGGCAGACAAAGATCAGAAGGATCATGGTCTAGACCTGACTGAGAACAGAGACCCTTTCTCAAAAATAAGGGGGACAGGGAGAAAAAAGGCTAGCAGGCACAGTGGCTCATGTGGTAGAATGCCTGCCTAGTGACACAAAGCCCTGAGTTCAAACCCCAGTACTGCAAAAAATAAATTAATAAATGAATAAATAAAAATTAGAAAGTTGGTAGTTCATGTCATGCTCTTATTCTTCTGTGTTTTTTATTTGCTTCTTTTGCTTTATGGCTCTTGTTTATTTTGTTTATTGTGGGATTTTTTTTTTTTTTTTTGAGAATGAGTCTTGTGATACAGCCCAGGCTGGTCTACAAGTAGAGATCTTCCTGTCTCAGCCTCTTGAGTGCTGGAATTACATGTATGCTGCAACATGCCCAAATTTCTTTTGTGATTCTGATTCTTGTTTTATTTCTATCATGATCCTTCTCGCTCTCTTTCTTTGTGTCTCTCTCTCTCCCACTTCCTCCTCTTCTCTCTTTTTGTGGTACTGAGTATCAAAATCAGTGATGCTGTGAAAGTACCCTACCACTGAGCCATATCCCTAATCTTTGATCAATTATTATTATCCTTAATTTTATTTTTATGGATCAGTCCAGTAGAATGAAGACTTGAAAACTAGGCTACTAAATTGAAGGCATAAAAGAATTATAACTTCTGACCCCACCAGCAAGATGTTACCGTTCAGGTAACAAATGATATCTTCCTAAAAGGCAGATTTATTGTTCCGAGTAGTGACAGGTTTCAGGACGTGCTACCCAGAACTGTGACATTGGCACACTTAAAAATGGCAGTAGCAGAGACATCTCTCTGACTTTCACCCATACTTGTTCCTGAGGCAGGTATTAAAACCTAGGAAGATATTCTGACCTTTCCCTAAAACTGGTCATGACTCTCATGTGAGAGGGGCACTCCATATTCCCAGAGGAAAACAAAATCCTTATCTCTCAAATGAAAGGACATGGGAAGAAAAATCCTTATTAAGTTTCATCTAGTTTATTGACAAAAGGTCTAACTTCCTCTGTTCTATTGTATTTCTCCACAACTGCCCACTCTTCATCACATCTAGTATAAAAATACATAGCTTTTAACCATTTCTTCGGGGTTTTGTTCCTTCAAAAGTTCCCTGTCAATAAAATTTGTACTAATCCTTGTTCATCTGTCTTTTATTACAGTGGCCTCAGCCAGGAATCTAGGAGGGGAAGAGATAATGATATTTTTCCTCTCCTACAGAAGTTAATGTGAGTTCTGTAAAGCTTTAAAGTACAAAGAATGAAAAATGAAGGAGATATATAATCAAATTGTACAAGTTATAAGAAATTAACTGAATGTGAACTTGGATATCTGTAGTACTTCCCACATCAAGGTGACAAAAGTAACATATGACTTTGCATTTGTTAAAAAGAATGGATAAATAAAATTTTCAGTAGAATAAGGACTTTTGAACTAGGCTACTAAACTGAAGGCAGAAAAGAATTATACTTTCTGACCTCACAAGCAAGACATTAGTTTTCAACTAACAAACAATATCTTTCCAACAGGCAGATTCATTGCTCTGAATAGTGACAAGTTTCAAGACATGTTACCCAAAACTGTGTGATATTGGCACGCTGAAAACTGGTAGAAGCAGGGAGGTCTGCTTCTAAGAAACAACCTATTTTCCTAAGAAAATCCACTAAGAACCAAAAATATTAGAAAAAGAGTGTTGTATCCCTGGAGCTTCCATTGTGCAAGGCTGTCTGACACCAAGAGAAAACTAGCCAAAATTTTCCATTTTAGCTTTTACCTTTATGTTTTAATTAGAGTCCCAAAAGGATTGCAAGTTAGATAAACATGAGAGTAGCTGTAAAGGTTATGAAGGTGGAAAGGTATTTCAGGGAGGTCACTAAAGAAGAGGATATCCAGACTCAGGGTTACCTAGGGTGGCAGGGAGGAAACAGAAACTCAAAATTACCCACACTTGAAAATGAGAAAAGGATGAGAATGGGAAGAAGAAGAAAAACTGATAAAATAAAGATGAATAAAAGAAAGAAGAAGAACCAAGGAGAAGGAGAAATATGTTCGAGAACTTTTACCCAGGAAATGATTTCTCTCAGGGAAATGAAAAGCAATGTCCATGACAAATAATGGTTGGCACTTGGATTGCACTTTGTATATTATTTATTTAGCCCAGAATCATACTAGCTCACTTCAGCATCCTATAATTATAATAAAATTCTTCTGAAAATGAAAGATATTAACTTTCTGTGTACATAGAAAAAATTACATCGACTTTGTAAACTACTATCTTTATTAATGATAGCACTATAATGTATTATTCAAAATATTTTGTGCTTCCCAGCTTAGAAAATTCACAAAGAATTTTTACTTTCCACATTAATCTCACTTTGAACTAATAATGCTAAGTCTTTTTAAAGTTTCTTTCTAACTGTCCATTTGAACAGAGCTAGTTATACTAATTATTAAATTAAGGAGTTTGTTTCATAATCCATTTTGACCTAAGGCAGGGACTAACAGATGGTGACCCCTGAACCAAATTGGGTCTGCTTACTGTTTTATAAATAAAGTTTTACTGGAACATAATCAAGTGCATTGGTTTACATATTTTCCATGTCTGCTTTCACACTACAATAATAGAGTTGAGCAATTTTAGCAGAGATCACATATACTACTTATTATCTAGGCTTGTACAGGAAAAATTGCCAGTCCTTAATGTAAAGCAATTAACTGTTTCATGAGAAATACTACTGAAAAATCCAGTTTCAATATATAGGTTGGGATTTCCTGTAATGACAAGACTATTCCATTTATTTGTATCCAAGTGATGGAAAAGCTGACTCACAAATGGAATGCTGTAAGCAATCTTCACAGATGAAATCCAAATTCAACTCTGCAGAATTGATTCACTAATAGCTCATTTTGTCTGAACTTCAAGTAAACAAAATCTTTAGAGACACCTGTAATATCCTCACTTTGTATTTATGCATTGTATAAATATCTATGAAGAACCTAGTTTTCCAAATATTATAAAAAGAATGTGTGTAATCTTACACAAGACAAAGTTCTTATTCCAAGTAGCTGAGGTTCTATATTGAAGGTGTACTCATTAACATTGTATTTATGTTAATCATCATGATCTGGCTCAAATAATTTTTCTGTAATGAAACATTTTTGAATGAAGCTAAGGTGCTGAATTCTTCCATCATTAAATATTAGATTTAATTATTGACATTAAAATGCACTAACTAATTTATTGTTTGCTGTCTTATTTTCTATACATCTGTCTTATTTTTTCATTTATTCATTTATTGGTGCTAGGGATTAAGCATAGGGCTTTATGCATGCCAAACACCTGTTCTACCACTGAGTTACATGGCCAGCCTGTGTTATTCTGATGTTCTAATTTGAGACATGTATTCATATTGTGTCAGTAGACACTGACCCTTCTAGCTAAACCACTGATTTGCAAACCTATCCTATAAAACACCAATTGGTAAATATTTTCAGTCTTGCAGACCATCTCATCTCAATAGTACCTACTCAGCTCTGCTTTTATAGCACAAAAGCATCCACAAAGCAAGTAACAGGTAAATGATGGATGTGGCTATGTTCAAATAAAACTTTATTTACAAAACAGAAAGAGGGCCTAATTTAGAATTTAGGCTGAGGCCTTAGTTTATCACACTGAGTTGTGTTCTGTTGACAGAAACTATGGCTTATACACACATATCGTTTGTTTTGTTTTGTTTTTTAATTTCTAAAGCATCAAGATTATGGTCATGCTAAGGCATTTGGATACATCTGCCTGCCTCTAAAGGTGGATATCTGATCTAAAATGGCAGCAATCTCTAAATTTGGAGTGTGAATGAATTTTCTAAAGCACATCATAGCTTCAGGTGAAAAGATTCAATAATACTTAAATACAATATTTTGCAGAAGAACCAAATATTAATTATGCAATCACACAAAACTGATATGTATCCTTTGAAAACAATTTGTTAAAGACAATGTTATATTTCATGTAAACTATGCCTAATTACAGTCCATTTTCCAGCAGCAAAAATTAAACCCTTTAAAGTCAAATAGTTATTTTATCTAGTAACTTGAAAAAAATATGAAATGTACTTAGCTAACAAAAACATGTTTAAAGCAGTAGAATGTCAGGATTCAATTTGTTAGATGAGAGGAAGATTTTCTACCCCCATATAACACTTACTTTTGATAGTCAATAATATTCATTCTATTAATGATCCTTATTG